GGGGCTTTTCTCGCCCCGGAGCTCACGGGCGGCGGGGCGCCACCCGTGTCCTCCGGGGCGAGAAAAAGCTTCTCCCCGTCTCCCTGGTCTGCTGGGGGGGTCCAGTGGCTTTGCTGGACCCCCCCAGCAGACCAGGGGGACAGGAGCAAAGCCACCCAGGCAGCAGGACTCCCGCCACCTGGGCGGCTTTGCTCGGGTGTCCCTGGTCTGCTGGGGGGGTCCAGCAGCTTTGCTGGACCCCCCCCAGCAGACCAGGGAGACTGGGAGAAGCTTTTCTCGCCCCGGAGGACACGGGTGGCGACCCGCCGCCCATGAGCTCCAGGGCGAGAAAAGCCCCGTTCGTAAGTGCGGATCCGACATTAGTCGGAACTGCGTAAGTCGGGGACTGCCTGTATAGCTAATTTAAGTAACTTTATGCTTGTTCTCCCTATTTTAGCCTTTGATCCTAACCCATTTTCACCGGCACTCTCTACCTTAGGTGCCCAATCACCACCAACCCTCTTGGTGAAAACAGAAACAAAGAAGTCATTAAGCACTTTGGCCATTTCCACATTTTCCATTATTAGTTCCTTTCCACTCCATTTGAGTAATAGTCCTACCGTGTCTTTAGTCTTCATATTACTTCTAATGTATCTGTAGAATGTTTTCTTGTTACCCTTTATGTATCCAGCTTGTTTGATCACATTTCTAGCCTTGCCTTTCCTAATTTTGTCCCTGCATATTTGTATTATTTGTTTATATTCATCCTTTGCAATTTGACCTACTTTCCAGTTTTTGTAGAACTATTTGATTTTTAGAACATTGAAGATCTCTTAGCTAAGACAGGATGGTCTCTTGAAATACTTGCTGTCTTTCCTACACAGTGAAATACTTTGCTCTTGTGCCTTTAATAATGTCTCTTTGAAAAATTGCCAACCATCTTCAATTGTTTCCTCTTAGACTTGCTTCCCATGGGATCTGACCTACCAACTCCATGTGTTCTTTTTAACCATTATTTCCCTAATCTTTTTGTATGATCACATCAAAAAGGCTGATCCATCGATGTACTGATAATAGTACATCAGTATATTGTCACCAGCTTTTTGCTTCCCACACCCCCTTTTTTTAAAGTTTGGCTTTGCATTTAAAGCTTCTGTATCTTCTCACCATTCTACCGGCAAACTTAAATGAAACCCAAATGTTAAGCCAAATAAGTCACTCTTTAAAATGCTAATATTTCATCCATTTTAAAATCCAAATACTTTTATAACAAAAGTAGAAAGCTTGGATATTTTTGGTTATAAAAATATTTCTTCTGTTAAGATAAAAACTGTATGGGGCATTTTGACTTTTTCTTTAAATAATGTTTCATATAAATTCAAATTTTCTCTCTGGGTTGAGCTCAAACAAGAAGTTTCAGACTAAAAACTTACCCATATAAGTAGTAAAAAAATGATAGGAGATAAAATGCTAGTTTGCACCATCCTTCCTTCTGACAGTATGCTAAAATGTCTGCATTCATGATGGTTGTAGGATCATAAAGACCTGGTCCACTCATTACAGGTCTGCTCATATACCTGGAAAAGACAAGTTAGGTTAGCAGTAAGTTTGGAAAAGAAAGCTATGGGAAAAATAGGTTTCCCTATCCCCAAATAACAAAATAGAAGTGTGTATAAGGAACCATTCACTAAACATTCTCTGCATATAGCCATTAACCAACCATGAAAGTAAAGTCTGACACCCTAACCTAATGCCTTGTCTGTGTGGGGGTGAATCACTTGATTACCTGTTCTGTTCATTCTTTCTGAAGCACCTCAGATTGGTCACTGCTGGAAAACAGGATAATGACCTAGATGGACCACTGGTCTGACCCAATATGGCTGTTTTTATATACTCGTGGGGATTTTTTGCACTGCATCTGCACTACGCCAACATAGTTTCTCAGCTTCAAATAATATTACAATGAGTCACCGCACGGCTGTGCCGGCTTGTAATCTACTCGCCATGGGCGAGTAGATTACATTAATTGTCGAGCCCTGAATATTACATTATACTTGGTGCTATACAAAAGGTGGGCACGAGAACCCTTTGCAGGATATAGGATCTAAGACATCATATTGTAGGATTATTAAACAACTATGTGTACTGCAGTACTCCTATTCTTGCTTACAAAGTTGGAAAAAATATTCCTTTTAAAAAATAAAAGGAAAGTAGTCCTTTTACTTTTTTATAAGGCAGCATAAAATTTTCAGCATCTTATCTCAATGGGCCTTTGTGGTTTACTGCTGAAGAAATGAGACAATTAACAAAATCATCACAAATGGACAATAAGAACAGAGAGATCAAAGTCATCGATATTACCTCCAAATATGGTAAGCCAACAAAGGCATATTGAGACCCAGCGTAAGCCACTCTGCTGCACAGAGAAACATAACACAGAAGAATGCATGGATGAGGTACTCTGGAAGTACAAGCTGAAAGAGAAAAATATGCATCAGAACATGTAATTACACAACATACAGCTTGGTCTGAATTTATTTAAAAAGTAAATTATTGGTGAAAAATTCCATACAACTATATAGAGAAAAACACTCAAATGGACGAGTAAACTGCAAAAAGTAAAAACAGCAGAACAACTGGCAGAATATATCCTAATATTTATAGTAAAGTTTATGTCAATTCATGATTACACAAGAAAATTTACATGCTGGAACATTCTGATTATGGAAGCTTTTATTATCTATTGATTGAATAAGTGCACTGTGAACAGCTTCCACATTTTATACAACATCTATGACAGACTATATTTCTACACATGTTCCACATAGAAATATCAATGGAAAAATTAATCCCTAACAGTTTATATGCAATAATTTGTTTTGTATGTTACTATTTTTGAAGCTTTGAACACTATATATGTACATTAAAAGACTATTTCCAAAACCTTATTTCCTGTGCAAAGCTTTATTAGACAAAAGTAGCATCAACATTGTTACATACACCAATATGCACATATACAAGCAAGATGCTTTCTGCAATGTAGGAGGGAATAACAGTAAAGCGAACATACAATTTGTCACATATTAACCAGTCCCATTTTCCTTTGTACAAGACTTTTCAAATACCTAACACATGCCTTCTTTTTAATATGCTTTTCAACAGAAGTCTACAGAGATAATACTAATTACTTTCAGATTACCAAGAGCATAAAATACCAGGTAACACTGCTAGTGCAATTTAGAGATAAGCAGTATAGAAACATATGTAGATTAAATATAGGTGAAATATCCTAAAACCAAGAAAACCTTATGTCCATAAGAGTAAAGTCCTGCAAAGGCAAATATACCGGAAAGAATAGTATCACATAGCCTTTTGAATTACATTCTTCTCCCCAAAAATTCATGTATAAATTTATAAGGCTCACAAGATAAACTACAAGCTGTTTCATGTAAAAATAAACAATTTGTATTATGTATTTCAATCAAGAGTTTATCATAATAATTTAACTTAAATCTTTAGTTTACGGATTCTCTAAGTAAAATACACACAAAACAGTCATATTCTTTGAGCTTGCCCAATCTGTGCATGTAGGATGACAGCCTCAGAATGCATTTTACAGTTCTTTAATGCTATCTAAAAGCAGATATTTGTTTTAAACACCTAAAAACATCTAACTAGAAATCTATGAACTAGAAGCAGAGTTGTTCCTAATTCACATTCTAACATTAATTCTTTTAATGACTATTGTCAAAGAAAACCAACTTTCATCAACAGAAACACAAGTCATCAATTTTCTTTAAATATGTAAAAATTGTTCTTGTCCAGATCATTCTTGTATACTGACCATATGTAACTTTTAGTGTTATTCCAATTATTTAAACTATAAAAAAGCCTGACCACCAAAAGCAAGACCGGTTTGCTAGTCCTGAAATCTACAAAAAGACTAATGGTATATCTCAAAGCATTCATTTCCCTTCCATCTAGGTTTGTGTATTCTGCCCCCAAACCAGAGAATCAGACTGCATTGTAAGCATTTAGAACTATATTATCTCTTTCTTCATTTCCAGCCTACATGAGAACTATCCTGATTAGTTTATAGCAGGTGTCAGCAACCTATGGCTCAGTAGGGAGCCAAATATGGCTGTTTTGCAGCTCAAGCAAAATTGGAGCCCCAGCATCAGCTTCCGGGGGGACGGACACTCACTGCATCTAGCTTGTAGAAAAGAAGTGCAGCTAGAAACGCCTTCGCACGCGGTCAATTCCCTTCTGCCTTTGGGGGACAGCAGAGCCTAGACACGCATCCTAGAGGCTTTCCCTGCTGCTCCCGTTGCCAGAATCTTGCCAATGGGAGTAGTGGGAGGCTATGCCTGGGATGCGGTGCTGGCAACAGCACAAAAGCAAGTAAGTGCCCCCTACCCCCTCACTCACCACCCTGACAAGACCCTGCATCCTCAGCCCACTTCTGCACCTCCCTCCTGGCCAGACGCCCTGCCCCAATCTACTCCTGCACCCCACTCCAACCCCTAGGCCACACACCCTACAACCAGCCTGCTCCTGCACCTCCCGCTGGCCAGACACCCTTCTCCCAGCCTGCTCCTACACCCTACCTCAAACCCTCACCCAACCTCCTGCCCAAATCATACATCCCCATCCTTATTCCCACTCACTGGCAGCCCTCTCCCACACACTGATCCCCTCATTTTTAGCTTAATCCAGAGCCTAGGGGGACCCACAAAATTCACTAACCCTGGAACCCCAGAAGAGTTAATCTAGCCTAAGGCCTTGAACTTCAGTCCTCCCTGCCCCCCCTTCACACACACCATGGGGCTGGAGCACCAAGGCAGTGAGGTGTTTCAGTTGGTGGTCCCATCAGGGAGGGCTGGAAGGTTTTGGAGGGTTTTTTTGCTTCTCATTTGGTGGTCCCTGACTGATTTTTCTGAGGGGTCAGTGGCCCCCTGACCCAAAAAAGGTTCCCCAGCCCTTCCATCAATAAAGACAATGTTGAAACCTTTTGGGTTGGACATAATATTTTACTTTATTTAAAATGAAGACTGCCCAGCCCCCATCTGGCCACACCGTCTTGTCCCCGGCCCTGATCCTCGGGCAGGCCCCATGGTCCAGCCCCCATCTGGCACAGGAAGGGAACACACACCAGCCCTGAGCCCCTCATATACTTGAACCCCCTACCCTGAGCCCCTCATACCCCCACATCTCCAAACTCCTATACCTCCAGATCCCAAGTCCCCTACCATAACACTCCTGTATCCCCCCACACACCCTAACTCCCTGCACTGAGCCCCTCATACCCCCACATCCCCAATCTCATGCACCCCCACATCTCCAGTTCCCAGCCATAACTACTTCCCACCACCAGCACCCCTGCTCTGCCTCCTGCACTTCCCACACCCTCAATCCCTTGCCCTGAGCCCCTCATACACCAGCCCTGACTCCTGCGCCCCAACATCCACAAACTGCACCCCAAGCAGCTGCCGAAGTCCCATTAAATAAAGTCTATGAATAAGTTTCATTTATGCTATTAGTCATGTATTATGCTATTAGACAATAATATCAAGTTGAATATTTTCAGTCATGCAAATGGGCACTTTTATATGGCTCTTTGTTGACCACTTGTTCTGAATTTTGATATGTTTTGGCTCTTTGGTTTGAAAAGTTTGCCAATCCCTGATTTATAGGTTACCATGTATTTTTTCCTAAGGGCTAGGAATGAAGAAATATTATTTCTAAATGCTTTAAGAGAACCCATCTTAAATTCACCTTTTCATGACTAGCTCTACTAGCATAGTATATACCACATTCTTTAAGATTTTCAATCCACACAAAGCTATTATACGAACACCTCATGCATGTATATTAATATTAAGTTCAAAAAATATTTGCTTTGAACATGCACATTATAACAACCTTTTATTTAAGTTTGTGATAAGATCATAATGCATAAATGCAATGAGTTGCCTTCCCCCATACTGTTGCAGAAATGACTGTAAAACAGACTGAGTTGAGGAAACTGTTAGATGCATAGCTATTCAGGTACCACTTTCCAAGATAAAATCTTCTCCCATTTTCTCTCTTCCCACCCACCCA